TCAGTTATACGGGCGTTCAGCCCTGAAGTCTGTCAGGGGATTGAATAACATTTTTATTAACACTAATTAATCTTCATATATTTGCTTAAGGCTGGCTGATCAATTCCATTTTCTCGATTTTCTTTAGTGCTTCCGTTGATTTTAGGCGCAACTACCCATACGTATTGTCCACCTTGGACTATCAACAACAACAACAAATGTCGGATTGACATTTGCCGCCTGTGGAGATGTGCACTATGGCATTTTTTGTGTTGTTTGATTTTACCGGTACATTCCGAGTAACTTTGTCCTCAGGTTCCGGTGAAAATGTGTTGGCTTTCCTTCTCTCTTCTGAGCAACACCATCAGAATGAATTGCAAGAATGGTTTAAAATGACTGGGATAGTCTATTTCTGCTTCCTTATTTGCCTTGTCTCTAAATTACCGGTGATACTGGCATAAAATCCCTCCCAGGTCATTAAGGGTATGCTAATCCAGGACACAATCATCATTGCGATTGCATGCCAAAGAAGGCCATCTTAGACAAGTAGAATCTGCCGTCATCTGATAAGATCGACCTTCACGTTAAATCGAAGTCAGTCTGACAATTATGTATCAGGAGACTTACCGACGCTTAGCTGCTTTTCAGAGTACAGATTTGATCCAATTTCTATTATTCTATCGTTATGTGGTTCTAAAGCAAGATGGCTAAGACAAACAGCTCACAAGAAGCTTCTGCTTGCTATGCAAGGGAATTAAAGCATATTGGGAGTTGTATGTGGAAATAACCAGCCTTTTCTCTCCTAAGTTCTTTAGCTCCATTCGTGTGGAGTCTGTCAAACTGATCTCGATCCCAGTGCCGAGATCTCAGTCCGGCAAAAACACAAAATGTTGATTGCTGAAGCTTAGGCATGATGTAATCGCTTCTTTAATACCTAGTTTTGTAGTAAAAAGCCGATCTAGCATATGGTCGTGTCCATCTTTGCCTTCTCGTCAAAGCGCTTCTGCGCCCGATTTAACTATATTTGGGAATATGTACTATTTGTCAAAATTGAATTTCCTGTGAAAATTCTCGTATCCCTTGTTTTTAGAAAACAGGTTTAGGCCTACTGCGTTACTCTGTTGGATTCATTATTTAAAGGTTAGGCCAATTTGCCCAGACTTTAGCGTCCCACACTATCGAAAACGATGTATTCGTCTCCTTTTATCTCATGAAGTCCACTAAATTTGATGGAGCATGCTATTTTAGCTAATAATGCCAAAAAGTAGAATAGGCATAAGTTCGAGCATAGGTTCACCTAACTTTCTTTGCCTCTTTTACGCTTGTCTCTGCTTCTTATGGCGACGAGAGTCGTCTGACTTCTCCATCAAGAAACGCTTAGGCTCTACATCTGCACTTTTATAAGCAATTTCTTGGATGCAAACAGAATTTTTTTAATTTTTTGTTTCTTAGCGGCATCCACTCCCAATTCGCCTGTACACACTCGAATTTTGACCAAATTTTCAATTTTCCTGACTTTTACAGGGTTTCCTTGCAGTTCAATGGTAGTTTGGGGAGAGATTTAAAAAGTGAATTTCGTCTAACTCATCAGAAACCAAATAAAGCTGGACAGTACGGTAGGTACGTGTGAACGGTACTTTACTAGAGGGCCGTGATAAAGCCTAAATGAATCAGATTAGCGGGGAACGCATATCTTCTCTCCACTTGTATGTTTGTCTTTGGGTATAGGCAATGACTCTCAAGACTCCGTATTCACATACACACAAAGAGAGACTTGCATATACACAATACACAATACAGTCCTACCCATCTGCTGGCTAATCTTTCTTTTTCTTCATTCTAACCTTAAGCCTCTGACACAGGATATCTTGCCTAACAAAACGTCTTTTTTCGCATGAATGTTTATCACTCTTCTTAATTTGATTTTTCCACTATGCGCCGATCACTTTCGCTTTATTAATCATGCCTCCACCTTTTGTTGAATTTTCAACGCCTTGAATGCGTACCAAACTGCTCAATTCTCCGTTGATGCTAGCAGCTCTCTCAAGGAAGACCCACTGCCTCTCCAAGCCTTATGGCCCAACACGGGACTCGCGTTCGACGCCGATATGCTTTCGCATGCCTGCATCTGTCCGCAGCGCAACGATCCAACTATGCATCCGGAGTCACCGCAACGATTGTCTGGTGTCTTCGAGCGCTTGCTTGCCTGTCCGCTGCTCAGGCTACCTATTCAACTTACTGGAAGGACCCATCTCGAGACCGACCTCGCGTACGGCATCGGAGACATCGGCTCCACTAACTGCATGACAATTGGAGCCACAGCTGACACCACCAAAAGGGGTACGACTGTGGGGGTCTGTCGAACCGGCTCCAGCGAGGCCTACATTGACGGTCAGTCTCTTGCCCAGAAACCTCTTCAAGAGACGGCAGAATCTGCTGAGGGCATCATTTCATCTGGACGTGTCAGTCAATTTGACATGGCAACCGGAGTCAAGTCAGCCGTGGAGACGACGTCATCTCGCGATTCCTCGATCAACACCACCGTTTCAACCTCACAACCAGCAGAAGCCATGCCAGTTTCATTGCCATTCTCCTCCAACTCCGGCTACATTTCAACCAGCCCTTTCGGAGTCCATTTGCCCAGCCAGCTCTCTTCTGCGTCGAATATCGCCTCATCCAGTTTGCTTGGCTTTGGCATAATACCTGCTGATCAACATGCTTCTGCTCACTCAGCCGTGTTTGGTCCAATCGAGGCGTCCGCCTTCTGGCGCGTCTTTTCCAGCCTGCCTTTGCTCTATTTTTGTCGGTTTATCCGCGGACGCATGGCCAGCAAGGTGAGCATTCAGGCCCATTCGCTTTCGATTCGTCTTCATGCATTATGTGGAATTAATATACTGCCAATTCACTATACTTGAGCAAAAAATTTCACTCTACTCGTTCCACTCAACGCTCTCCCTATTTTTTCGTTATTGAATAGGTTTTCGAGACTACCAGTAAATCAGGTATATGGGTTGTGTTTACCCTATTTTGTGTAAGGTGGTGAAGGACAGGTAGTTCATTTTTCCCACGATGCTATGAGTAAACCTGACATTTCCTTTGAATTTCTCATGTCCTTGCTTTCCCTAAAGTCGTCTTCATCCCGGCTGGAGTGGACTGCAGTTTCGACCTCGCCTAGGTCTTATCAACACCCTCAGCGGCAGTCGAACTATGAAAATGTAGCGTGTAATCTCGACACATTAACTACTCCGCCACATTTCTACGAGTGCCCCTGAGTCACAGAGCAAAAGTGAATGTAAGGAAGTTTAGGCCTTTCTTATGTCCTATATCTGTGCATTTTTGAGGCCTACTCATATAACCAGTATTTCATCACCTTCAACGAAATAGCATGAACACAGTTCTTATATCAGATCTACGTGTAGTTTCAAAAACATACTTATGAAAACGAAAAATTGAGTTTTGAGTGACTTTCTCATCTCCTTCCTCATAGTTCTGCTATTTGTAGTCAGTCTCAGATGTGAAATTACTTCTAAAAAGACTGCCTTGCGAAGCAAAGAACATTTGCTATATATATTTCACTGGCCCAGATGCCGAGTCAAGCCTTAGCACAGTATTGAATTTAACTTTATTCTGTTGTGCGTTACTCAAATCTTATCCATTATATCATCTTCACGCATCATTGCTTATGTTTGACGGCATACGCCGTTTGAGTTTTTGCTTCAAACACTGAATGCTGGGGCAAAGTAACACATCGATGAACTCTTCAACTTTAATAAAGAACGTAGTTACTATGAGCATTCTTCATCTTTACCAGCCACAAGATAGGTGAGACGCGTTTTCCGGTTGGTAAGACATCCTCAAGATGAAGGATATGACCAAGCATCGCTTATCACTTGTGAGAAATTTCAATTAATTGTTACTCAAGCGGCAAACTTATCCTCTACTAAATGTGCGAGCTGACCTTATTTGTTTTGGAGGGTTGAGATTATGTATATTTGACTCGTTCTAGCAACTAAGACTTTGTACAAGCTAGTCAGATTTGCTGGCCATATGGTGAATTGAGCTTAGCTGTGATCTGACCTCGTTTTTCCAATTTGGTAGTATTGTCAAGGCGACTTGTCCGAATTCCTCATATTTCCAGGCGTCGGACCGTCGACATGGTGCATTCTCCGAGAGAATCAGAAAGGAATCGTTTATACGATTAATCACCCTTGCAATAGGAACTACCTACTTCACATTTAATAGCAACATTTATGAACAGACATTTGGACTTTCTATAGGTTCACCGCTCTCAACTTTATTGGAAAATGTATAGATGAAAAAATTGGATGTAAAATTTAAGACGTCACCTCTGTAACCAAGACTTCTTATGCGGTACCTGGATGACTACTTCGCAATTTGGTAGCATGGAAGAGAACAATTTAAGGATTTCCTGAAGTTTATAAACCGGATTGATGAAAGAACCGAGTTCAAAATAGATGCAGGGTAAGAGGGGCTTTTAGATTTCCTATATGTGAAAGTCATTCGCTCTAATGAGACACTAAAGAGAAAATTGTTCTAAAGAAGTAATATGCCGGAATAGTACTCCATTTCGAGTCGCATCACGACTACAAAGTAAAGATAGGGATAATGAGCAGCATGATGATCAGAAGCCTAAGAGGTGGAATCCTGGGATTTATAATTGGACAAATCGACTCCGATAGTCCTCGACAGTGGATACTTGAGTGAAGTAATACAAAGAAAGATAAAGGTCGTGAAAAGCCGATGACAGAATGGGGATTATGAAAGAACAGTAATGACCGAGAAAGACACGAAAGTGGATATGCTTCCCTTTCTGCGAACC